TTTATCTATTACCTGTCTCTTTTGAGAGCATTTCAAAATTATCCTTTTCAAGGAGTTACAACCTTGCTCCATCCAATCCACTCTCTCTATAAAAGCCAGAGCGATCATTTTACTATCCACATACGACTGTGTCTCTTTGCATCTTGAAACTCTTCAACAGTTCAGTTGTTCTCAGGATCATGCATAAGTATTGTCTTTAGGATCATTGCAGGGAATGGAAGACTTTAATAAAAAGAGCAACCTTCCATGAAAATCAGAGCCTTGCACTTGATTTACATTTATTCACACTTGGTGTATGTTTATTTCTAATTAATTTGCTCTTCCCTGACTCTTTGAGCAAGTAATTTCAAGAGTGATGTTCTTCTTTTGTGTTATCATAGCCAGTGTTTTGTTATTTTACAAAAAACAAAAACAGAAACAAAAGAATCACAAACTTGGTGTGGATACAGCGTGTGTTGGGTGGAGTTGAGCAGAAGCCATATATGCTCCTCTTAAGAAACTGTCCCAGGATAAAAATACCTATTTCCTAAACTCTCAACTGGAAAAGAAGCCATATATTTAATCAAGATGAACATATTAAATTCCTTAGGAGTAAGAAGTAAAGAGTAAAACTATCATTCTAAAATAAGATCCTTTGTATATATGAGTGGTGATTTTTTTTGTTGTCTGTAATACTCTGTAGGCAGTTTAGAAGAGACACATGAAGGGGCTGCTTTATTCATGCCACTATTATAAGCCATCATCTTATTTGCTTGTGTAATTATCTATCCACACCTATATTATGAGTACCTTGAAGGCAAAAACTTAGTCTTAGGCATCTTCTTATACCCTGTTTTATGAAAATACCTGACATACCATGTGCTCTCCAATAAAGATTTCATGCATATTCAAAATTCATCAGGAACCCCTTCCTCCACGCCATCATCTCTTGCCTTCCTTTTCTTTCTTCTCCACCCAATTTAGATTCCATTGTATATTATTTCAGTCAATGTTTGTTTATTCTAAACTCAGCTTGTTCTAAATTCAACTGCCTCTCTTATATACTCTGTTGAAAAAAAATTCCAGGAATCTTAATAATGTTAGCCCCATATTTTGAAGAAGTTGTAGAAAATGACCACGTTTGGGCAGACTGATGTTACTGTTAATAAATTAAGACAGTATACCACCATACTCACCAAGTTTCAGCTTCTCAAAGGTATCAGATTTCTTCCTGTTTCTTCTACTGTGCTTTTCTTTATTCTTTGCTTGGCAATTTCTATTTAGGCTTCAATTAAGAATCCTTCCTCGAATATTCCTCCTTTAACCCTGCACATTAGATTAATATCTCTTGTACACATTCTCACTGCACAATGTTCTTTTCATTTCAGGACTCATGACAACTCTAATAAGGCAATTGCTTGTGTACATAGTTATTTAATGTCTACTCCCTACACTGTGTCATCAAGGACCAGCTTAGTTTCTGCTGTGTTTACCATCACATTCTAATCACTTGCAAAGTTCCTAGTCTCGAACAGGTATGCAATAAGTACTTGCTGAATAAAAGAATTGAAGCAAATGAGTTTTAAGTAATGAATGAAATCCCTATTTTGCATGATGGAAATCTACCTGGATTTATAACTCAATCTAATCAGAGAGGAAATTATGAGTAGTCATGGGGAAAGACTTATTTTATCCATAATAAGGTAATAGTTGTTATCCCACTTATTTCTCAGAGCTCTTCTTTAAATGAAGCACTCCCAAGTTATTATTACTTTTACATAGACGTGGAAATGAAACACTCCCAGAACAGTTAAGTATTTTGTAAGAGCACAAAGGAAGAGTTGAGTGGAACAAGGGATAAATTCCACTAGACATTGAAAGTACACTTTCCTGGTTGACTGGATGTGAGGTTGTATGAAGGGTTTTCCTGTTGGCGGAATAAGACTATACCAGGCTGGTTATCTATGATTTTCAGACTTATATGTACGTTGTGTTAGATATTTGCCCCACACAAGTAAATTACTAGCCTGTACTCTAAACAATGGGCTGAACACAAAGTTAGTGATGATTCTCTACTGAGGGAAGATGGAGAGAACTGCCAAGCAAGACTAAACATTGCAGTAAATATCTAAAAAAAAGACCTCTTCCCACCTGAGAAGAATGGCAGCCACAGTGAAAAATTTTGCCAGGGTTTATTGTCTAAAGCTAGAAGCAGGCTCATTTCAACTCAATGGACATTTATTAATCATACACTGTGAAATAAGCTTTTGCTAGGATTCAAAATAAAATGAAACAGTCCCTGCACAAGAAGTTTTAGGAGTTCTAGACTGGAGCTGGAGACATGGTAAATCTGACACTTGCCAGAGTTATTTTTTAATCAAATTACTGATCAATCTAGATCAAACCCTGCTGAGACTCAGATATGCTACCATTCTAGATTCCAAAATTGCCAAACCGCCATTAATATGAGCAGAAGTGTAAAAGTCCTAAGCTGGGAAGTATTAGTTTGGTTTAATTCTTGCTCATATCTTAGACTGACTTGGGGCCTTGGGACCTGAGACCCATATGTCCCTCTGGTTCAGAGGTTCTCTGTTCTAACGTGTCTTGAATCCCTGGAGAGGACAAGGAAGTATATTTGCACTCCACTCCTCCAGGCACTGTGTTGGTTCTTCTCTACTGGAAGCATGATCCTATGTCCATCCCCTTTGTGGTTGTGTCTGTCTTTCTGACCCCAGGACTACTTCTTTTGTTCTTTGGTCTTTTTTTTTAATTGCTGTGTTTCTGCATTCTCTGGTTTTTACCCTTCCTTTGCAAAATGGTTCCAGGACCAGGACCTGCAAGGCATAAACCGGTGGTGAGCAACGTAGATCTATTAGGGAGTAAAGCTAGTAGCGGGTAGAGCTGATGAAAAATGAAGGTGGTGGAGAGGACAGAAGGAAATGGGGGGAAAGTGAGCTCCAGGAAATGAGAAAGGCTAAGATTAGAACTTTGAATATGGATTCTAAGAGGCAACGCTTACGGTAAGAGAATGGCATGAAAGAGAAGTGCCTGTTAGGAGCTTAACGGAGCTTCTCCCATTGCTTTCCCTAAAATGTTTCTAGGTTCTTCTGAAAGTCAAAATGCTAATTGCTAAGGATGTAAAACAATTTAAAGAGAATCAATGGTCATGATAGACTTAGGACTGGCCATACCATACTAGGGCCAGCCACCTGGAGATTAAAATTTGACATGCCACCTCAGAAAGTTTTAGGTTATCTTATATGCGTAAGCATGAGTTTGTACTTGTGAGCGCATTTACGAATGAGTGTCTTGTTCTTCTTTTGGAATAACGGAGCAAGCACTAAGATGCCTACCCATCCTATACACCATGAAGGGGCACAAATAAATACAAAATGGAGTTAAACAGTTGCTTTCTAGAATGGGTCTTAAACAGTCCTTCTGTGATTCATGGATATGCCTTTCCCTAAAAGGAGTAGAGGGGAAGTCTTCACATGGGCACACTTAGCATAAAGTGAGAAATAAGGACAAGGTATGGATTGTAATATTTCGTGATCAAGACACTGCAGAAGGACCCATCCCATGTTTAGTTTAGTGCTGGCAGAGACAGAGCACGTGGAGACAAAGGATGTGTCACTGCCTAACCTTGGGAGAGAGGAGAAAAATGCTCAGCAATCAATCAGAAAATGCATGTGACCAACCAAGAAAGTGATAGAAGTTTGCTATATAGATAGATTAGATTATAAATGTATTGAAGAGCTAAAAAGGAGAATCTCTTGGAATGTACAGATTGAAAAGAACGTGATGGGGATTATAGATCTGGTGAGGAAAGATCTTCTGTAAGGACTTCCAAGACTAAACACTATCTTCCTACCATGGTAACTTATCCAAGTCTATTAAAAATTCAATTGCTGCATTCAGTCCTTTATCTATTTACTTGTCAAACATTATTTTTGACCTAGTATATGTAAAGAAGGGATGCTGGATATAGAGAAAAAAAAGGGACTCAGAAATTTCCTAGTGTAGTGGGGCAAGAGGCATACACATAATTATAAAACAAGTTTATACTTCCTAAGGGAGTTAAGATAAAGCTGTATCATTCTCTTACTGTAGCAGAAGGGATTCATGGAGGGATATGTACTCATGTGAGTTTTGAATGACTATTAACTACTTGTCAGGGACCAAATGGGAATATCCATTCTGTGCAAAAAAGCACCATAAGTCATGCAGGTGTGTTAAACATGCTTTTAGACATTTCAAAACACTTAGACATGATTGTACCATGCAGTATATGGTGCAGTGTGTTGGTCAATAATGCTAAATATGTGGGCAAAAGCAAGAAGAGTTTTGCATGCTTTCATACCAAAATCCTAGAGGGAAACAGAGTGTGCCAGAATTAGGGAATTTCAGGATAGTGTAATATGGAAACCACTTTCAAAGGTGTGGGTAAGTGTAAGAAAATATCGGGTGCTTATGAAGTTCCTGGATTAGTGACAGCAGTTACTGTCACAACCCCTGGACTAAAAGGACAAGAGGAGAATACGGTTAGAAGAGAAACCCAGAACCAGAGAAAGCTGCTTGCAGAGACATGCAGCCAGTTTGCAGCAACCCTGCTGGGAGGGAGCTGGAGGAATAAACCCATGACCTCCCTCCAGTCTCCTGTTGGTGTTTCTCATTGCCAGATACAACCAGAAGTGAGAGGGCAGGGGAGTCTGTCCCAGGGCCCAGAACAAGATGGGAAGCAGTGGAGGGTAGACCAGAGGAAGATAACACAAGATATTCTGCACAGCCTACACGAAGAAAGGTTATATTGGTATTAAGTTGATGATTTTCACATGTGAGAATATTAGGTAGCAATGCAGAGGTTTCACTAGAAGATGGAAATCCTAGAAGTGGGCATATGATTTACAAGCTATTTTAATAACCCAAGAAAGAAATGAGAAAGGCATGCTGTAGAATAGAATTGGTGAAAATGGAAAAGAGGCAGGAAATTAAATGGATTTTTAGGAGGAATAAATGGCATCTGGGTGCACTTTATTTCATTTTCTAACAATTTTTGTTAAGATAAAGGCTGGTTCTCTGCATCATTATGCTTTCTGCATCCATCTCCAATGACACTGCCTTCCATCCATCCACATTTATTCTACTTGGAATCCCTGGTATGCAAGACCAGCACCTTTGGGCTGCCATCCCCTTCTGCTCCATGTACATCCTTGCTCTGGTTGGCAACGGCACCATCCTCTACACCATCGTGAAGGAGAGAGCTCTGCACGAGCCAATGTACCTCTTCCTGTGTTTACTGTCCCTCACGGACCTGGTGCTCTGTTCAACTACGTTGCCCAAAATGTTAACAATCTTCTGGTTTAAGTCCCACAAAACTTCCTACCATGGATGCCTCACCCAAATGTTTTTTGTTCATACAGTCTTTGCCACGGAATCCGCTGTTCTGCTGGCCATGGCTTTGGACCGCTATGTGGCCATCTGCCGTCCACTTCATTATACATCCATCCTCAGTGCCATGGTGATTGGGAAGATTGGCCTGGCATGTGTGATCCGTGGCCTTCTCTTTGTGTTCCCCTTTGTCATTCTCATTGAACGCTTACCTTTCTGTGGACATCACGTCATCCCCCACACCTACTGTGAGCACATGGGCATTGCCAGGCTGTCCTGTGCCAGCATCAAGCCCAACACCATTTATGGTCTCACCGTGGCACTCTCAGTCACTGGTATGGATGTGGTCCTCATCGCCACCTCCTACGGCCTGATCCTGCGGGCCATGCTGCACCTGCCCTCAAAGGATGCCCAATTCCGAGCATTTAGCACTTGTGGAGCCCACATTTGTGTGATTCTTGTATTCTATGTACCTGCTTTTTTTCCTTTTTCACTCACCGCTTCGGTCACCGAGTACCTCCTCATGTCCACATTGTACTCACAAATCTCTATCTCCTCTTACCCCCTGTTCTCAACCCCTTGGTCTACGGCGTCAACACCAGACAGATCCGCCTGAGAATATTGGACTTTTTTACGGGGAGGAGGTAGTTTACTCTCTCCACACCCTAAGGACGAACGGGGCAAAATTATAGTTAATTTTCTACTTTCTCAAGTACCTCTTATCCTTGGACTAGAGGTGCTGTTTCTGCTAATCTTAACAAGCCAGTACTGTTTATTATCTGAGAGTTTCTGAGGTGTTTAGAACAACATTTATACCTGCTAAATACATAGAACACTATTTTCCTGCAAAGCTATTCGTGACCTTTAATGGCCCTGTGGGTCTTGACTCTCCCCAGGGAAAGGTCAGGAGGCAATGTAGTACATTTGATGGTAAGAACCATGGAGAGATATTCTCTTTATGTACAAAAATTCCATGTGCTGGAAGTAGAGGAAAAGTGGTCAAAAAAGAACTATTTACTTATAGCCTCAGGAAATTGAGAATAACACAAACAAACACACACACATTGATTGATTGACTGATTTCTCACACTTTCTTAGACCAAGAGTATTTATTTGCAGTAAGAGTGTTAGCCTTTGGCCAGAGACAGTATGAGAGCTCAGGGTCCTCTGGATCTGGGATTAGATTCGAAATAGATGAAGGTGACTGCTGGGTGACTTACTGTGAAGTCTGGAAGCACATATGTCAATGGGGAAGCCATGGCACAAGTTTCTCAACAAATTTCTTCAAAATGACACTTCGTAGCTAATATATTCACTTTAGAGCCACTGATTATCTTTACGTTTTTCCTGATACCGTCAGTGTGATAAACCTTACATGCAGATTATTTTGTGAGCCAATATAAATACATCCTGACTCTTTCTTTTTCTCATTTAGTCACTATTTTGAGTATAAAAGAATCTCCAAGACACAGAGTTTCCTGCTAATGTTATGCAAATTGACATAATAGAACAATGAAAAGATAGAGGTTTAAGATCACAAAAGAAAAAAGATATTATTGTTAATCATTATTAACAAATGACATGATCTTTCTATAGAGAAAACTCATAAGACTCAAGATAGACTTTTTTAGGACTAATGATATTTCAAGAAATTTGCTGAACTCGAAGTAAAAAAACAAAACCCCAAACGAATTAATTGCATTTTTATATAAAGACACCATTAGAAATAAATATTTTAAAAGTTATAACAGTAGCAACAAAATCTATGGTACTTACAGTTAATTTAACAGAAATGTACATGGCATCTATGTTAAACAATTAATAAATTAATTGAAAGATTTTTAAAGATCAAAATATTAAGATATATATTACAAAGTTCATGGATATAAAAATGGTAGAAAAATAGGAAAAGTGGAAATAGTGAAAGATAAGAACATACACTTATCAGAAGATATATGGACAATCAATTTATAAAACAAACCTCAATCATGGGAGTACTAAGGAAAATGCAATAAAAACCACTTTTACACCCCTCACATTGGCATATTTAGAACAAAACTCAGATAATAGTAAAAATTAGTGAGGATATAGAGAAATATGAATACCTATTCACTGCTAATGGGAAACTAAATGAGCATCAACCACTTGCAAGATCAATTTATAATTATTTGGCCAAGTTAAAGATATGCATACCTCACAAACCAGAAACGCCATGCCTCAGTGTCATCCCTCGAGGCCACCCTGCACGAGTGAACAAGATAACCTTGTGTGAGAACATTAGGGTAAGCTCCCCTCTGTTTTATCATTATTATCTTTAGATGTTTGTTTATACGGATGAATTTCAGAATCATTTTGGCAAGATTTCAAGCAAAACAAATCATTGAAATTTCCTTGGATTTTTCAAGAATTTATAAATGTATTTAAGGAGAAGGTATAGCCTTCAAACATAGTGATACTTTAGGTTTCTATATACACAGGAAAACAAAAGTATGTAAGATCTTATGAATTGGATACATACTTATCTCATATTGAAATGACATTATTTATTTGCTTCTTCATTCATTTATCCATTTAATTGACACATATATATGCCCACTGTGTGCATACACGATGCTAATGATAGGGACACAGGATCTGGGGAGAAATGAGACTGGGGCTCTTGTCCCAGAGTAGTGTAATTATCCACAGGTTAAAGTTAGAAGTTTTGACTGATAATGGACGATCCTTGATAGAGCTTGGGGCATATTCTGCAAGAAAAGTTTCTTTATCAGTTGTATTCAGGTATTTGACAGTACTAAAGATATAATAATGGGAGCAAGGCTGGGAAGAAATGATTATGTTGGTTTGCTGCCTGTCATTAGAACCCCTCAGGGCCACCGTGGGACAGAGGGGAAAAAGAATGACTGAGCCCAGGACTTGTGCATGTTATTAGGGGAAGCTGTGTGGATGTGTCCAGGAGCAGGTGCATCTGTGTTTGCCTGTTTATGTTGATGTACTTTTTATACTGATGTTAATTGACCAGGCACGTTTATTTTGTCATTCACATTCCTCTGTCACTGTTTCACTCTTACTGACCCCTGACTCTGAACAGTCTCCCTACAGAGCCTGTCTGGAGGCAGAACACACTACATCAGAAGTTAGAATCTGGCTCTCTGAGTCACTTCGGTTTGGTCTTCGCAAGACTTTGTGATTTGTCTTGTGCATTTGGCAACATGCTTTTTGACAAACTTTGATACCTTGCTTCCTCTAGACTAATGAGTAAAGAAATATGGTCACATCTGGACCCAAAGGTTGAGAGGATGCTGGGACATGAGAGGCTATGGGTGCTGAGTGAGGGGTTGAGTATTGAAGAAAATGTCCCGGTGAGTGTCTGGAGCTACACTATTAGCCTGAGAAAAAGTTAGAGTAAAAGTCAGAAAGAGGCTAGGGCTAGATCAAACTGGAGGCTGCTAACACTATTTCACCAGCGTTTCCATCAACAGGGATTATACTTCTGACCACTTCACAACCCTGAATACCGCAGCCACGGACGAAAGCCCTCCCTGGCTGTCACATGCACATATGTATGGGAAGGAGGGCCTTTGGGATACCCAAATTGCCAAACCCTAACCTAGTTCCAGACTCAGCTTTTAGCTTCAACTCCCCCCCTCTCAGGCTTCTAGGCATGGTAAGCACTGGAACATTCCCACCATCCCTAAAGTCAATCAGCATTATCTCCTGGGAACTCAGGGCAACCTCCAAGGTCAGTCTTATGCATAATAGTTGTGGTACCTGGTGTGTGTGTGTGTTTCAGGAATGAAGGAGTAACAGAGAGCTAATTCTGGGCACCCTGGGGGCCTTTACCGAGGTTACTTAAAGAGCCACGATTCTAGGTGCCTGAGAGTGAGGAGTGGAGAGATGCAGGGCCAGGAGTGTGCCTTTCAAGAGCCACATGGATGCTTGTTAAGATATGCCTTCATACATGTGTATAAACTCATACACACATATCTGAAGGTGTGTGGGGCTAGCTTTGCACTCTCTCATTGCCTCACATTCAGGTAGGTGATTCTAGGCTTTATATTCACATTCTGGTTGCTTCTTCCCTGAGCTTCAGGTGACCAGAACCCCATTGCCTACTTCATTCTTAATCATTATTATACAGTTCTCATCATAAAGGTCTCCATAATTCCCAAATCTGCAGTAGATATGCACTCTTTAGGTGTTGGATAAGAATTCTACTGTAAGTTTTTAAACCCTCATATTTTGTAAACAGTCTATTTTCTGACCTAGCTGACCTCTTGTTTGCTGAGAAAGGTATGTGATTTTTTTTGTCTATTTCTCTTTGTATTTCTCCCCATTTTTGTTTCACATACTTTGAGTTATAGTCTCTAAGTGGCTACGATTTCAAAAATAACATAATTTATTCTTGTAAACTTAACGGCGTTTTGTTAACGAATAATGAATCAATTTGTCCCTAATAAAACACTTACAATGAAATATATTCTCTCAGATATCAATGTTGTTGTGCCGTATTATTACCACTCTAATACTACAGCATAGTACTACACTAAATGATACACATTATCATGCTTTCAGAATCATTTTCATGTATCTTAATATTACAACTTTTGTTTCTACTCTGAAAATTTAAATTCTTTTTAAATTGAGGCTCGTATAGTTTCTTGATTTCTCTTCCAAGGTGCTTCACCAGGGTGTCACCATGACGGGTTGCAACGCCTCCCAGGGCCATCCCTCTTTCTTCCTTCTCCAAGGTATTCCTGGGATGGAGGACAAACACAGATGGATCTCTATTCCCTTCTCATCCATGTACTTCATCACCATCCTCGGGAACTGCACCATCATCTTCACCATCTCCGCAGAGCGCTCCCTGCACAAGCCCATGTTCCTGTTGCTCTGCATGCTGGCCCTCACTGACCTGGGCATGTCCACAACCACCATTCCCAAGGCACTGTGCATCTTCTGGTTTGGCCAGAGTGAGATCAGCTATGAGGGATGCCTGGTCCAGCTCTTCTTCATCCACTCCATCTCTGCCTTGCAGTCCTCCATCCTCATGTCCATGGCCTTTGACCGCTATGTGGCCATCTGTGAGCCCCTGCGCTATGCCACCATCCTTTCCAACAGCCGCATTGGGCTCATTGGCCTAGTGAGTTTAGGGAGAGCTATCCTGTTCATCCTCCCCATGCCCATCCTCCTCCAGCAGATGCCCTTTCATGCCAAGCATGTCATCCCCACCACCTACTGTGAACACATGGCTGTGGTGAAGATGGTGTGTGTGGACACCACAGTCAATAGGATGTATGGTCTGGTGGTGGCCTTTTTGGTTGCTGGGGTAGATATCTCAGCTATTGCCTCATCTTATGTACTGATCATCCGGGCTGTAATGCGGCTGTCTTCTAAGGAAGCCCACCAAAAAGCAGTAAGCACGTGCACCACACACATCTGTGTCATGCTGATCTCTTACACTCCCTCACTGTTTTCTTTTCTCACTCACCGCTTTGGCCGGGGAATTCCACCCCATATCCACACCATGCTCGGCAGCCTCTACTTCCTTGTGCCTCCAATGCTCAATCCTATTATTTATGCAGTGAAAACCAAGGAGTTTCGGGACAAATTGACCAAATATAGGGGCTGGAGGAAGGAGACCATAACCACGGCCCATGGTCAG